ATACTGGGCAATAATTAAACGGCATCTTATACCCCGTTCACATTACAGCCTATATCACGTAATATAGGCTGTCTTGCAAGGAGCACTCATACATAAGATTTCCAGTGAATATAAGATGTATGAGTGCTCATTGCAAGACAGCCTATAGGGTAACCAACTTGAATTGGACCCCTACATATTTTGGACCCTTTTCATATATTTTTCTCGCTTACTGTCTAGTTTCTTCAAATTCATCTGGGTTGATGTTGTAATTACATTCTTTCAATTACTTGCTATGTCTCAAGATCATTAGTTCACCTAAAATTGCTCACAATTGCTCAATTTATGCAGTTTTAGAAAATATTATCGAAAAAGTTTCATGTTTCGACGTTTGTCAAGAGGAATCGGCGTTAGTGTACTTGTTTTAAATTTGGTCTAAAATATACAATTCAATGATTTTTTTTATCAAATCAGTTTATCTGACTTTGGAAGATGTATTTCACGTGTTTATAAAGATTTCACCTTAAGATTTTACTTAAAAAGTATTAAATAAAAAGTGTCCAAAAAAGATCGTAAAAAAAATGTTACCAACTTATTTTGGACACTTATCAAATGAGAATCATCAAAAGAGCGACAAAAAAAAATCCGGTTGGTCGATCGTGCTATTATCTCAGATTTCTGATTAAATTGGTAAGTAAATCAATCAAAATTATATGAATTCATTGTTTTTAAATATATTTCTTGTTTATCAGGCGATTCAAAATGGGAAAAACAGCAAAACACGTAGAGTGGTCCACTCTGAGTTTTCCTAGTTTTCCTAGTTCCTAGTTTTCCACAAAAGTTTTCCTATCTCCCAAACGCATTTAACTAAGGGACTGTTCATAAACTACGTAGACGCTTTAGGGGGGTGGGAGCGCTTGGCAGATGTCTACGGTCCATACAATTTTTTAAATTTTGTGTTTGAGACTGTCTTCTACGGAAGGGGGGGGGGGTTGAAATCTCTCAACAACCGTCTACGTAGTTTATGAACAGCCCATACAAAAAATAATATGGACTGCAAGCATAGAGTCAGGTCTCCGTATTAAGATATTATTGGTATTATGGTATGGTATATGGTATTTATGGTATTATCAGTTGTTTCCTTATGTTATATTATATTTCCTCCGTTACTCGCGCCAACTTTTGTAACACGAGTACTCACGCGTTGTACTTTGTACAACAGTGTGAGTTTTCCAATCGATCTGAAATCAACGAGTATTCCTCAAAAAACTTGCTTTTAACTAAACAAGCTAAATATTTATTACAGTTAACCCCCAAAATATGCGGAAAATAAAGCGAAAATGTAAATGGAAACCGCGTAAATGGTGTCCATACTACGAGGGTTCTGACTTAACTGGTTACAACATGGAATATCTGGAGATCCTGACCAGATAGAAAGTTACTGTCTTTGCCAAAGTAGTTCTAGAGATCATAACCTTTTTGCTGGTGGACAGTAGTTCAAAATTTACTCACTACATAGCGCTAGTATACATGTGAAGTTCTCGCATGTGATATATCTCGAAATCCTGACCAGATAGAAAGTTACTGTCTTCGAAAAAGTTGTTCAGGAGTTCAAAGCCTATAGTTCAGAATTTTTTCACTATATGGTGCTAGTATATACGTGAAATTCTCGTATAAAATATCTCGAAATCCTGATCATATAAAAAGTTACTGTCTTCGGCAAAGTTGTTCAGGAAGTCAAGGCCTTTTTGCTGGTGGACTTAAGTTCAGAGTTTTCTCACTTTGCAACGCTAGTATACATGAGGAATTCTCGCATATAAAATATCTCTAGATCCTGACCAGACAGAAAGTTACTGTCTTCGGCAAAGTTGTTCAGGATGTTAGGATCTTTTCGTTGGTGTACAGTAATTCAGAATTTTCCCTTTACGTGGCACTAGTATGCGGGTCATTCAGAGATATTTTATATGCAAGGATTTCACGTGTCTTTCAACGTCACCTAGTGAGAAAATTATGTACTTTCCACCAACGATAGGGTCTGATCTCCTGGACAACTTTGCCGATTACAGTACATTTTTAGCAGGTCTTGAGATATATCATATGCGAGAATTGCACGTATATACTAGTACCATGAAGTGAAATATTCTAAACTACCGTCCACTAGCCAAAAGGCCTTGATCCCCTGAACAACTTTGCCCAAGACAGTAACATTCTATCTAGTCATGCTATCTAGATATTTTATATGAGAGATTTTAACGTGTATACTAGAACTACATAGTGAGAAAATTCTTAACTATTCTACACCAAGCACCTCCTGAACAACTTTTTCAAAGACAGTAACTTTCTATTTGGTCAGGATCTCGAGATATATCATATGCGAGAAGTGTATATGTATACAAACGCCACGTGGTGAGAAAATTCTGAACTACTGTCTACCAGTCGAAAAGTCTTGACCCCCTGAACAAGTTTGCCCAATACAGTAACTTTCTAGCTGGTCAAGAACTCGAGCTATTGTATATGCGAGAATTACACGTATATACTAGCGCCTCGTAGTGTGAAATTTCTGAACTACTCCACCAACGAAAAGAGCTTGACTTCCTGAACAACTTTGCTGAAGGCATTTACTTTATATCTGGTCAGGATCTAGAGATATTTTATACACGAGAATTTCACATGTATACTAGCACCACGAAGTGAGATAATTCTGAACTATTGTACACTAAGAAATAGGCTTTGACCTCCTGAACAACTTTGCGCAAGACAGTAACTTTCTATCTGGTCAGAATCTCGAGATATTCCATGTTGTAACCAATTAAGTCAATCCCACGTAGTATGGACACCGTTTACGCGGTTTCCATTTACATTTTCTCTATTATCCGCATTTTGGGGGTTAATTGTAATCAAAGTTTAGCTTTTTTAGTTCAAAACAAGTTTTTTGAGGAATACAAGTTGGTTTCAGATCGATTGGCAGCAACAAAATGGCAATGGAAAACTCATATGTGTTGTACAAAGTACAACAGCGCGAGTAACGGGGGGTTAACTTTTATGCATACCGTAAAACGGGGTGTAATTGATCAGCGGGGCAAAATTGATCGCTGAAATTTCTCGTGATATTTTTTCATTTGTAACATGTTTTTCGTTACTAAGCGTACGAATGTATCTTTGTATACATTGTAAAAATATTATGCATAAGTACAATATTGGGTATACTCAGCGATCAAATTTACCCCGCTGATCAATTTCACCCCGTTTTACGGCACCTTCTTTGAAAATTTTCCCACCTAGACGGACCTAACAAATGCGAGATAGGAAGAAGTGACCGTCGTAATTAATTTTAGGCTCATAGGTTGAAAGAATTCAGCATGTCCAAAATATATTCGTTCCCATTCAGTGTGTCCAAAATATATTATGGACACTGTCCAAAATCAAGTGGAAGGGTCTAAAATATGTGAATATCATGATGTGAAAAGAATTATTTTTCGAGTATATATCAATAAATAAAACATCTAGTGACATTTTACATCCAAGATGAGTAGCTTTCGAACACAACCGCATGTAAATTGCATAATAATAATAAACAAATAATATTATTTTGACATAAACGTGATCTCACTTCCTCTAGGGGTCCAAAATCAGTTGGTTACCCTATTACGTGATATACGCTGTAATGTGAACGGGGTATTAAGAAAGATGGAAGAGAAGCAAAACTGACTGCTTCAAGAAAATTTAGTCTGCAGCACAACGAAAAGTTAAGAGGAAAGTTCTCCCGCAACACGAGAAAAGGGCCTATCATTGTTGATCGATTCTCTTCATCGATTTTCTGTTTTGCGAATAACCCGACTGCAATTGCCTTTTCTATTGAGTGTGTTGTTTCAGGCACAAGCTAACATCGTCTTTGTCGAACTATGCTGCGAGCATAGCGAAAAATTCGTTTATGTTGCCGTGGTAAACCAAAGAAAAAGTCGATGAAGAGAATCGATCAACGAGGACTGGCCCTTTTCAAATTTTACGCGAGAGTTGTGCAGAATCTAATGGGCGGTATCAAGAAAAAAGTCCGAGCGTTCTTCAGAAATGAGAAGTAAACATTCAAACTCACGTGAAATCGGTCATATGTATGTTGATTTTCATTTATATATACACGCAGGCAAAAGAACGTAAGAATTCCATAAGAAACACTTATGAATTTTAGCCACAAGAAATCAGTATGAATTTCATTGATTTGCCTTATGAAAAATAATGTTGACAAAAAATAATAATTCGGAGCAGACTGGAACCGAACCATGGACGTTGTGCTTACGGGGCCCGTGTGTTGACCACTTTTCTTTCAACGCTTGGGAAATGTAATGATTAAAGGCGTATAAGAGCTACCTCATCTTACCCGAAAATCAGTCTCGCTTTTGAAATTCATATGTGTTGTTCATAAGTCGAGCCTTATGAAATTCTTAAGTCTATTTGCCTCAGTGTAAAGTAAACTTATGAATTTGTTCGAAAATAAATATTTTCCTTTGAGAAACAGGTGTCTACTTTAATTAACAGTCCTTATGGGAAAAGTGAACTTTAAGTTCTCAACGTCTTAGCACACCCTAGCACTAAAACTTGCTATCAGCTCATATGTTAAATTTTATAAGCTTAAATTTTACTGAAGATCACTTTTTGAAGTTATTAATTGATTTAGAAGTGGATAACTTTCTGATATGCTTAATCGATTGATTTCAGGGCAACACTGCATCTTGCACTTATGGCATAGTAGCCTGGGTTTTTAGCCTATTCTTCGCACCAAGCACATCAATGTTGCCTGCTGGGCACTTTATGGAGCATCCATGTCAGAAGAATATCATCTTCCTAATTAATTATTAACTTATTATCATGACGCTCAATCCAAATGTGGTATTGAGCAAAGTTGCAGCTGATAAAAATTTCACATTAGTACAGGTAGCACACTTCTCCGCAGTTCATCACAGCGAAGGGCTAGAACGATGAGAATAAAAACTTCACTTTTCTACTAATTCAACTAATTCTACTAATTCTCATTAAACTTCAAAGCGTCAGTGCAGTTTGAGTTCGCATCGTAATGAGCTCAAATTTTGGGAGAACTGCCAGGACCTGATTTGAAGTCTATTGAACTAGGTGGAGCAAATTGATAATTTGAACTACTCTAATATGCAATGCATCGCAATTTGTGATCTTCCAAATAAAGCGTCACCTTAAATGCCATACACACTAACTTGAAAGTACCCATCAATGAGTAAAATTTCTTCCATTTTGTACATAAATTGGCTTAACTTATTAGGTGGTAATTTTTTTATCCATTTAGTGACAATCTGTTACCCATAAAAATTTTACTCATTAATGTGTACTTTCAAGTGAGCGTGTACACCCCCACCCCTTTAACCAATCACTCAATTACGCCTATAAAGCACCATCCCCACTGCCTTCCTTTTTTTTATTTCTCCTTCGGACGCCCGGCCTAGTTCACATACTCGTTGCAAGTCATCTCCCGAAAGTAGTTACCCAAGGGTGAATCCACCGCGTGATCCGACGACGAGTAGGGCGAAGATTCGTAGTAAGACGGATGGAAGCTTGTGCCAATTTGCAGGTTAAATGCCGTGGCCGTGCTCGGCCGGGCCTCGTAGGGATCCCCCGGTCCCGTCGGTTCCCACGGTTGCGGGCTGAGGGTGTCCACGTCGGACTCGCACGCCGTCAGCGAGTCCATCATCATCATTTGATGCGGGTGCTGATGCGGATGCGGGTGATGGTGGTGATGGTTTGGCGGCAGCTGTCCGTCGGGATGGAGCTCGTTTGGGCCGGGGCTGTTGCTGTTGAAAAACGCTTCGGAAAATTTTCCAATTTCCGTTGAACCGAATGCTTGCTGGAAGCCGGGTAGCGGGGTTACGTTCTAAAAATAGAGAAACAGAGTGGGTGTGAGCGATTTCGACAATTCACTGCAATGCGTAACGATTCTTATAGGGTAAGGATTATATAGTTGCCAATTTAAGTTATACTTCAGATAAATGCTTGTAATGACAAATAACTATACGTTTATACTGTTTCAACTTAATTTGTTGCAATTAATCAAAGAAACTTTCGTACTTTGATCCATTTCCCGGCGAAATACAGACGAAAAGGGCACCCATTATTGCGATTGGAATCGATATGCTTATAAATAGTTTCGCGTCGCTTCCTTGCACAACACACTACCTGCAGTGATGGCCGCGTTAATAGTCTTACCCTGTCTGCGGTGACGCCACCCACGCCCCCGGCAAGTATCGATGACGCGTTGTTACCAGGGTCACCGGGTTTGGCTGCCGTCGAATGTTGTTTGTCGTGTTCCGCCCGGTGTTTCGTGCTTTGCTTTTTCGATCGTTTCGGTGGACTTACGCCCGCTGCTGCCCCACCACCAGGTGAGTTACTTTTGGGTCCTGCGCCACGTCCGCCCGGAGATGGGTGCCGGCTGGCTGGGGAGTTGTTCGGGTGATCGTGCTCGTAATTATCAGCCTGTTTTGCGGGACCGGAAATGACAGAATGGAAGAAATTTGAAAAAAATGATTAGAAATGAATGCGAGAAACAATCGATAAATGTTTGATGTTTCCGGCTCGGAATTGAGGTGGCGTGTTTCTGGGGGGAGGTGATAACTTTGAGGTAATAAACTTGATGTTTTTCGGTTTGAAGATTAGGTTCCTATGCGTGTAAAAGGTATTTAATCAAGAGAGTATTTAGATAAAACAGGAATCGCTGCACCGTGAAGGTATCAAATTCTGCGCAGTTAAGACATTTTAAAGCCATTCATAAAAACGGTGGAAAATACTGTTACAGGTGGGGCTTAGAAAGTATGTTTTGTGCAGAACATAAAGGAGGGATTTCGTATGTTAATCTAAACTCGATATTACTCAGGAGTGCTTGTGTGATTACGAACCCGCGTTCTACAAATACTTCTTGGAAGTAAAAGAAGCGATTGTTCTGAAATCGTACAACAGTGATAATCAGTTCTATGTCTCAACATATGGCTGCAAAATACATGCGTAATTCCCGGAAGCGCGCGAAGGATCATCAGGCAGATGGTTCTCCAAAACGACCCAAGACCGGTGCAGAGAGAGCTCGGTGTTTTCGGGCCAACATAAAAACAGTCAGAGGTAATGCGTCACCATCTATTGGTTGGGAGGCTGGAGATGGTCCTTCAACTCCAGGTAGAAAATTCGAAGGAATTTTTAACAAGGCTTTGAAACTGCTTACGTTTGACACGTAACAATTTAACAATTGTTTCACTCTGATTTAGTGTGATTTTGTAATGGCTACAAGCAAACTTTTTAGTTTTCATTAAAAGTGCAAAATATTCTCGATTAGTAGTTCAGCTTTATACTGATTTAAAAACCTTTGAAAGTATGACCACAGACATTGTATGACGTTTAAGTCAAAAAATGTCTGGTTTCAAAAATAAATTTAATGCAGCATTCAATCCTTTTATTAAACTGCACAATAAATCAATCATAAACCTGCTCGGCATTTTTTTTTATTGATGTCACGACAAAATACTCCATAAATGCAACTATAAAACCATTCGGATTCAAATGTCATTGAAGTTATCCAGTACCATACCATACAGCATGTACTAATTTGTAGTACATGAAGCCATCCAGTACCATACCATCCAGAATGCACCATAAATCAACTATTGCATACTTCACGGCGTAAATGGAGCAATTGTGCTAAATTAACTTTTAAATCAAAATTTACAACCATTAATGATATTACATATAATTTATCCATGTATGGTGGGAAAACCAGTGACAAACCATTCCAGTTCTTCACCTAGAATATTCTAGAATATCTAAACAAGACATTTAAACATTTAGACATCATGGCTAATTGTTTTGAAATTGTTTGATTGATTTTTTTACTTCAAAGAGGAGTTCTTCAAAGAAATTTGAAATTTTTTCTACAAATACTTGCTGGATGGGAATACTGAGTCAAATATAATTAAAGTGATTTATTCAGAGTATTCAGTAATATCTTAAGATGACATTTGCATACTTCAACATCATGGCTAATTGTTTTGAAATTGTTTGATTGATTTTTTTTACTTCAAAGAGGAGTTCTTCAAAGAAACTTACTTACTTTTGGCTTCCCGCAGTATAGGACCTAGTTGGGTGAAATCATCTTAAATTTTGGTACGTTCTTTGTATCGTGTTTATCATGGTCTATTCTGGGCGAAGATATAGGAGGCATAGAAGTGAATATACTGATCAGGAGCTGCTTGAAATGCAGTGTTGGCACTGTCACAGAATACCACTAATCAAATCCGGTTCAATCATGGTGGGGCATCGGAGTTTATGTCTGCCATTTTTTTTTAACTCTTTATTTGTTCCAAATTCAAAATAAATTACATTTCATTTTTAACCTAGGTGCTCCAGTTACTAAAGAAACCTACCAGCCCTAACTGTTATGATATATATCTAAGTGTTTTTACATTGTTCCTGTCTTGGCAATTCAGTATTTTAAACAGGTTTTTTAAACCTACATGTCAGTATAACAATTGATATCTTAAAACTAAAAACTAAAACTAAATCTTATCTAAGTATAAAGGGAATTAATCGTTGCAATTGAGGATTGCAACGATTTTTGCCGGAAATTATTAATTATTTTGTTGGACATTTGTGCTAAAGTCTCAACATTCGAAATTCTATGTACTTCGGTAGTACTGTACCAGGGAGGCAACTTCAAAATCATCTTCAGAATTTTGTTCTGAATCCTTTGAAGTGCTTTTTTCCTGGTAGTGAAACAACAAGACCATATTGGCACAGCGTAAAGCATGGCCGGTCTAAAAACTTGTTTAAATATTAGAAGTTTATTCGTCAGGCAACGTTTGGATTTCCTGTTTATAAGAGGATACAAACATTTTATATATTTATTACATTTGGCTTGAATGCCCTCAATGTGATCTTTAAAAGTAAATTTTTGGTCAAGTATTAGTCCAAGATATTTCACTTGGTTTGACCAGGAAATAGGAACTCCGTTCATAGTGACTATGTGACTACTACTAGGTTTCAAAAAGGAAGCTCTAGGCTTATGTGGAAATATTATAAGTTGAGTTTTGGAAGCGTTGGGAGAAATCTTGCATTTTTGTAAGTAGGAAGAGAAAATATCTAAACTTTTCTGCAGTCTGCTGCAAATAACACGAAGACTTCTTCCTTTAGCGGAAATGCCTGTGTCATCAGCGAACAAAGATTTGTGGCAACCCTGAGGCAAACCAGGGAGGTCCGAAGTGAAAATGTTATACAATATAGGCCCAAGAATGCTACCCTGAGGAACTTCTGCTCTAACAGGTAGTATATTAGATTTACCTGCAGAGTTCTGTCAGTTAAATAATTTTGAACTAATTTCATAATGTAAAGTGGAAAATTAAACTTTTTCAATTTAGCAATCAAACCTTCATGCCAAACACTGTCAAATGCTTTTTCTATGTCTAGAAGAGCAACTCCAGTTGAGTGGCCTTCAGATTTGTTTGAACGAATTAAATTGGTAACTCTTAAGAGTTGATGAGTAGTTGAATGCCCATGGCGAAATCCAAACTGCTCATCTGCAAAAATTGAGTTCGTATTGATGTGAAGCATCATTCTATTCAAAATTATCTTTTCAAAAAGTTTACTTATTGAAGAAAGCAAACTTATTGGGCGGTAGCTAGAAGCTTCAGCTGGATTTTTATCCGGCTTCAAAATTGGAACAACTTTTGCATTTTTCCATTTATCAGGAAAGTATGCCAAATGGAAACATCTGTTAAATAATTTTACCAAGAAAGACAAGGTACTCTCTGGGAGTTTTTTTTGATGAGGGTGTAGAAAATTCCATCATCACCTGGAGCTTTCATATTTTGAAACTTTTTAGTTATAGACCTTACTTCGTCCAAATCAGTCCCCCAGGAATCATCAAAAATATTTTCCCGAGAGAAAATATTCAGAAAATCCCGAGCAACCTGATTCTCAATAGGACTAGTAAGACCCAAAATGAAATTATGGGAACTCTCAAATTGCTTAGCAAGTTTCTGAGCTTCTTCCAAATTTGTGATCAAAATTTTACCACCTTCTTTAAGCGCTGGAATAGGCTCTTGAGGTTTTTTCAAAATTTTTGTGAGTTTCCAAAAGGGTTTGGAACTCAGGTCTAATTTAGAAACATTATTTTCAAAAGTTTTGTTCCTCAGGGCAGAGAATCGCTTTTTAATTTGTTTTTGTAAATCCCGCCAAATAACTTTCATGGCAGGATCGCGTGTTCTTTGATATTGTCTCCTACGGACATTTTTAAGACGGATCAAGAGCTGAAGATCGTCGTCTATTATAATTGAATCGAATTTAACCTCGCATTTTGGTACTGAGGCAGCTCTTGCTTCAACTATAGAAGTAGTCAGAGATTCAAGAGCATAATTAATTTCATCTTTGGTTTGCAAAGGAATGTTTGGATCGAAGTTATATTCCATAAATGTTCGATATTGCTCCCAATCAGCTCTATGGTAATTGAAAGTAGAGCTGTTGGGATTACAAATTATTTCTTGGGATATTTCAAAAGTTACTGGAAGGTGATCAGAACCGAAGTCAGCATGGGTAACCAATTGGCTACAAAGTTGACATGAATCAGTTAAGACCAAATCAATAGTTGAGGGATTTCTTGCAGAAGAAAAGCATGTTGGGCTGTTTGGATATTGAATAGTGTAATAACCTGCAGAACAATCATCAAACAGAACATTACCATAGGAATTGCTTTGAGCATTATTCCATGAGCGATGTTTTGCATTAAAATCACCAATAATTAAGAATTTAGACCTATGACGGGTAAGTTTCTGGAGGTCACCCTTGAGAAAATTCTTTTGCTGGCCTACGCATTGGAATGGCAAATAGGCAGCTATAAACGTAAGTTGTCCAAATTTTGTTTCAACAGAAACTCCCAAAGTTTCAAAAACTTTGGTTTCAAATGAAGAAAGAATTTTATGTTTGATTCGTCTATGAATAATGATGGCAACGCCACCACAGGGTCCATCAAGACGATCATTTCTATAAATCAAGTAATTTGCGTCCTTCTTAACCTTATGGTCAGGTTTAAGGAACGTTTCAGTTATAACGGCAATATGCACGTTATGAACTCTCAAAAAGTTAAATAGCTCGTCTTCATTATCTTTTTGAGATCGAGCATTCCAATTTAAAATGTTTAATGCTTTAAAGGCCATTACTGAATTTTAAAGTCATGACAATATTATTAGCAAATTTTACTTCAGTTTGAATAGCATCAAACATGGAGTTAGATTTAAGCATATCAGAAATCATGTCAATTAATGAACTCTGTAAAAAATCCATTTTAGGGACATTAATGCTTCCTAAGTCAAAATTGTCAAAATTTCCGTTAGAATTACTTTGGTTAGTATTTTGATTTCTACCCGCTGCAATCGCAGCATAGGTAGCTCCATTAACTTGTTGAACTTTGTTAGCAGCGAGGGTAGTAGGTACAGATGAAA